TGTAGCTGTGTGGCTCTGAGAGAAAGGAGTGGGGGAGCTGCGGTCGCTCGAGGTTTTTCCCCTGCTTACAGTACAGGATCTCGGCTGCATCGTGAACGGGTGCAACGCTTTACCCTCCGTGTTTTGCTGCTCTTGTTTATACAGTCCTGTGTGATCGCTGTGGAAATTAAAGATAAAAAAGTTTTAAAAAATAATAATAAAAAAAAAATAATTGTAAAACCGTTGTCGTGTGCTTCGACCATTGGATATAGATTTAATTAAAATATCTGTCATATCTGTGCATCGGGTGTTATTGCAAACGGATCTCAGGAAAATATTAAAATCATAAGATCATAGTAATCGGTTTCTTTGAGGCTACAGAAGCCCCGTGCACTGGTGTAGGAGAAGTGATATTATGGTATTAGAAGAAACGATGGTTTTCTGAAGCAACACCACGCTCTCTTCAACACCATGGCCCCCTCCATCCAGCACTCGAAAATGGTAAGTGCAATCGGTGGAATTCCCTTGTGCAAGAGGCGAGTAGATTGCAAAGCGAATGGTAGATGGAATGAATGGGTAGACGGAGAAGTAGATGGAGAGATGGAGTCCGGATGGATTTTTGGGCTGAGGGAGGCTTCGGGCTGGGGACGGATGTCGGCTTTGCTTTTGTGTGTAGTTTTTCGTTACCTGTTTGGTGATGGGATGGGGGGGGGGGTAGGCCAGGGATGTGATAGGAGTGGGTGAAGAAACCTTGGCAGACTTTCGTGTTTTGTTGTTATTGTTATTCATCATCACCATCCTTATCAATAATATCCTTATATATTTCTTGTGGCGTTGAGTAACATATCTGACTCATATATATATATATATATATATATATATATATATATATATATATATATATATATATATATATATATATATATTCATAAAACGGGAAATGGAACAAGAGAGAATAAGTGATTTTTTTTCCAATAATAACTGTGGACATTCACCCTGAGCTCGATGTCAACATAGGCCAAAATTATTCATAAGGTGTCTGTGATATGAACTATGTAAAAAAAAAACTGAAAAAAAGAAGAGGAGGAAATTACAAAGAGTAAACAGAAACACATCTGATAAAGATAGATAGATAGAGAGAGAGAGAGAGAGAAAGAAGAGAAGAGAGAGAGAAGAGAAGAGAGAGAGAGAGAGAGAGAGAGAGAGAGAGAGAGAGAGAGAGAGAGAGAGAGAGAGAGAGAGAGAGAGAGAGAGAGAGAGAGAGAGAGAAGAGAGAAGAGAAAGAGAAAGAGAGAAGAGATAGAGAGAGAAGAGAGAGAGAGAGAGAGAGAGAGAGAGAGAGAGAGAGAGAGAGAGAGAGAGAGAGAGAGAGAGAGAGAGAGAGAGTGAGTGAGTGAGAGAGACAACAAGCAAAAAAAACAACAAGCCACAAAAGGCAATGTTACGCAAATATTTTATTTTGATCCATAATGAATAGAGTCATCTGTATCCCTGGGTTTCAATTTACGTTTTAGCTTCGATGCAATACGCGATTTTTAACGCATGTAATGACGTTGATTGTTCTATTTTTCCGATGGTGGATCACGTTTCATGAATATATGTGTTGTGGGGGAGGGGGAGAGGAAGGGGGGAAGGGAGGAAGGGAGGAGGGGGGGGGGGCACGGTCACACTTCACACTCCTGTTTGTTAGAGTGTCACTGAGTGTGAGTATTTCGTATTGTGATTGTGTGTGTTTATTTATGTAACTGTGTCTGTTTATATTGTGTCTGAGGAAATGTTGTACGAGTGGAATTTTTAAAAGTGGTTTTCATATCTAAATATAATGGTAAGTTAGTCGTATGTAAATGTAGGCCTATACATCTGTTTATCTGTTTTGCTCATGCTTTCTCCGTGTAAGGAAATGGCCAGGGTTAGCATGAGCGAATGGTATATGTATAAGCATATGCAGATGCGTGCTTGTGTCTGCGTGGGCGATTTAACAGATAATGCTAAGCCACAGAAACACAATGATGACAAGCCGCCCACGCTCACAGATAGTGTGTGTGTGCGTGATAGTGTGTGCGTGTTTGATAGTGTGTGTGTGTGCGTGATAGTGTGTATGTTTGAAAGTGTATGTGTGCTTGGTCAGTCTTGGCGAGCACGCTTTGAGTGAAAAAAGCAAACTTTCGTAAACCTTTTCGTAAGAATTCGCCATTGAGGCACAGGCTCTACAATAATTTGAATTGGATTGTAATGAGGGCTAGATTGCACTTAAACTAAATTACTGTTTGCCGGGAGAACGTCCGTATCCTCCTCTCTCCTCCCCTCCCCTCCCCCTCCCCTCTTACGTACGTACACGTGATAATACGGCCGTGCGTTACTGTCCCTGTTATTAATGCGATGGCGTGCGTATGTCACCCGCAATGTACTGTCTCGACTTTGGAGGTCACTGCTAGTTAGTATTATGTTGATGGGGATGTACGTCAGCTGGGAAATGTAGGAATTAAGCTTTTTGTGTGTTTATTTGCTCGTTTTTTTATTTGTGGATGCTTATGTGTTTGTTTTGTTGTTGTTGTTGTTGTTGTTTTTCCGTTGTCTACGTGGGGTTAAAGATGTTATTATTGTTCAAGATTGCCGTAGTTGTGATGATGTTTATTTTTTAAAGTTATTTACTGTTATTTTCTGTTACCGATGCCTTTGAATTCATATTACTGTTGTGGAGTCTAATTAAAATCATTTATTTTAGACCGAATCTTCCCGCCCCTAATATTGCTATTGTTGCAAGCTTTGGTTAGATAACAGTGACAATGCTAGTGTTATTGTTTTGCTGAGTCAGTTGCATATGTTTTCGTGATGGGCTGCCTTACTGTTTGTTGATACTGGATCTATTTGCTATTTTGGTCTTTTTGATATTGATAAGTAGAATATGATGACAATAGTAATAATGATTGATGATTCTGTAACAACAACAACGGCAACGATAATAACATCTTTCTTCTTTCTTTTCGCCTTATCTTTCTCCCTTTTCTTCTTCGTCGTCGTCTTCTCCTCTTTCTTCTTCTTCTTCTCCTTCTTCATCTTCTACATTTTCTTCTTCTTCTCCTTGATCTTCTACTTCTTCTTCTTCTTTTTCTTCTCCTTTTTCTTCTTCTCCTTCTACATCTTCTACTTTTTTTCTTCTACTTTTCCTTCTTCTTCTTCTTCTTCTCCTTTTTCTTCCTCTCCTCCATCTTCTTTTTTCTTATTATTAACATTATTATTATTGATCTTCTTCTTCTTCATCATCGTCTTACATCTCTAACTTCTTTTTATTCTTCATCTTTTCTTTTGTGTCTACCCTCGGAACCAACACAAAACAATCATGCTTGATAATAATGATAAAGAAGATGATAATGATGAAGTGATGATTAGCAACGAAGATTATTATTTGAATTATTATCATGGCAGTGGTGATTATAGCCATGATACACTAATGTTATGGAATAGAAAGATATATAAAAAAAAAATGGGAGTCAAAGTATGTAAAAGTAGAAGAGACAGTATTAGGAGTAGTAGAAGGCGAAGAAGAAGAAGAGGAAGAGGAAGAGGAGAAAGAAGAAGAAGAAGAAAGAAGAAGAGGAAGAGGAAGAGGAAGAGGAGGAGGAGGAGGAGGAGGAAAAAGAAGAAGAAGAAGAAGAAGAAAAAAAAAATAGAAAACAACAACAGTGATAATAATGATAATAATAATAATGATAATAATAATAATAATAAGAGGAAGAATGATAATAATAATAATAATAATAATAATAATATTAATAATGATCATAATGATAATCATAATAGTACTACTACTGCTGCTAATAATGATAATAATGATGATAAAAATAATAATTATAATAATGATAATGATAATAATAATAATAATAATAATAATAATAATAATAATAATAATAATAATAATAATAATAATAATGATAACAATAACAACAACAACAACAATAATGATAATAATAATAATAGGTAGCATTAATATTAGGGTAGTTGTAGTAATAGTAGTAGAGAAAAAAGAAATGAAAACTATCAGCAGTAGCTTAATAGGAAGGTCAGAAGAGGCACAAAAGAAGTGCGGTGGAGGAATGAAAACAAAAGCAAGAAAACAAAGGAAAACAAAACAAGGATTGCGAGTTTCAAGAAAAGGAGACAAGGAAGGGGAGGAGGAGGAGGAAGGGATGACCCAAGACGGAGAGGCCCTGGAGTGAGGTCAGCGTGGACACCCGAGTGAGGAGTGTGGCACCCCCTGATATTGGCACTCCCGACACCCGCCGCCGCCTCACGATAGGTGCCTGACAAGGGGCTCACACCTGGCCGTGTCACATGCCAAAATCTGTTCATGACACCTGCTGCTACCTGTTCGCACGGGGAGGCCCACAAAACATGCATGCTTTTGCAATGGAATGAGCGGCGTGGAGCCTGTTTGCACTCTTTGAAACGAGAGTGTGGCCGCGACGAGAGAGAGTGCCTGGCTTTCCTTAAAGGGTGGCTTTTGTCGACACGTGGTGGGTGCCACTTGGGGCTTGGGTTGCTGGGATTGGAAAGGAGTTCGCTTATGTATTATGGTCTGTGTGCAGGATTCTGTTTTTTTTTTCTTCTCTCTCTTTCTCTCTCTCTCCTTCTCTCTCTCTCTCTCTCTCTCTTCTCTCTCTCTCTCTCTCTCTCTCTCTCTCTCTCTCTCTCTCTCTCTCTCTCTCTCTCTCTCTCTCTCTTTGTGTGTGTGGCTGGCTCCTTTTTGTTTCCATCTCCCTCTCTTTCTTTTCCCTTCTCCATTCATCCCTCATCCTTCCCTCCGCTCTGTGTTCTTCCTCCGTTTCTCCCCCAGGCACCTTTCTTTTCACCCTTCCCTCCACTTCCCCTCTCATTCATCCCCCCTCTTCCCCCTCCCCCTTTCCCTTCCACCCCACCCCCCATCTTCAACCTTCCATCCACCCCTTTCTCTCGCCACCTCCTCCTCCACCTCCACCCGTCCCTCGCCTCCTCCACCTCTCCCTCTCTCCCTCCCTCCTCCCTTCCTCAACCTTCTACCCCCTTCCCCCCCCTTCACCCTTTCCTCCTCCCCGCCCCCTCCTCTGCCTCTTATCTCCCTCCCCCAATTCGCCAGATCAGATGCTCGCCTCTGTTGCAATCACCTGCAACATCCCTCTTGCAGTGGACGTCCGTGCGTGCGCGTGGGTGGCTTACTGTAGAGTGGATAATGTGAACTTTTTTTCCGTGTGGGTAGGGCAGGGAGAGAGAGGGGGGGTGGGGGATGACTGAAAGGGAGAGGAAGAAGTAGAAGAAGAAAGACAAAGACAAAAGAAAGAGATTGGAATAAATAAATAGAAAGAGAGAGAGAGAGAAAGAAAGAGAGAGAGAGAGAGAGAGAGAGAGAGAGAGAGAGAGAGAGAGAGAGAGAGAGAGAGAGAGAGAGAGAGAGTGAGAGAGAGAACGAAAGAAAGAAAGAAAGAAAGAAAAAGAAAAGAAAGAAAGAAAAAGAAAAGAAAGAAAGA